CCTCACAAGTGGGCGCGGAAAAGAAAAGCGCTTGGCTCCGAATAAGCGTGTGGCTAGCCGTGCGGCGCAACGGGCGGAGTATGGAAACAGGATACCGTTCGCGTGTACTTCTGACCGGAAAAAGTGGCAAGCTACTGCAGCTGCGGACCTATTACCTCACACACGGAACGGAGCAAGGTCCACAGAGGTGAGCGTACTTTAAGCGTAATCCCTACCTATTCACTGCCACTCAACTACCTTTGAAGGCAGTGGGCACGGTGGCTGGGGGCGGCGGGTTGCTGCAGACGCACTGGTGGAAGGGCTTAGTGGGATAGGGCCTACCGCTTTCATCGCCCTTCCAACAACGCTGGCAGCAAGCCCCCAAACACCCGTCGTGGCATTTAAGCCCGATAGATTACATAAAGTAGTAGACCTCCCTTCCCGGAGATTTCTGTATTTTCACGTCACACAAGCCTCTTAACAAGCAAAAAAGGTCTCGCTTCTCAATACTACACAAGTACGTCCTACCACTCTTTGAGGATTCCTCAACGACGCCGAGCCCTTTCCCTGGTCCCTATCTCTTTATTAGCTCATTTATTCATGACCCAAAAAGGTTGCAGTATCCAAAGGAATTTCAGGAGCTCTGGCAGGGTCTTGGGTGGAAATCGATGCGACAAAAGTAAAAGAGCAGAGCTAATGCGGTCCTCCGTTCAGGACAAAAAAACTACGCCTACCACCTCCAATTCGTTCAATAATGCGACAAAAAAGCTGCTGCCCTTTGCCATAATCAATGAGAACCAAGAAATGACGCATCGAATCGGGTTCGTTCGAAAAAACTGCTAAAAAACTCAATTCCATATTTCTCCCGATTACTTCAGTCGAACAATCTACGAAGCTGCCGATATGACAGGCTTTCCTGGCCGTAAAGTCTTAGGTGATAGGTGTTTGATATCCCAATTAGACATCGAAAGAACTCCAACATGAGCGAATCCGCACATGTTCTGCAACAGAAACCAGTTCCAGTGTAATCAAGAAAACCTCCCCAGGAGCAACCTCTCTGATGGAAAACGAGGAATGAACGGAAATTAACCAGATGAGTCAGCCAAACCAAAACCTGTATACATTACAGACGTCAGATTGACTGAGTCTGAACCCAACGTAGTTTATTTATTTACTCATTTCAATACACCCGAGGCCGTGCCCGCAGTAAAAAATATGAAATAAGCAGCAAAAGGCGCAGTGAAGATTTGAAAACAAAACAAAAGCAAAACAAAACAAAAACATAGGAAACGAAACACTGGGAACAAGAGCGAAGGAATAGGCTGTGAGTCGAAGTTCTAAAGGAAATAAGAACCGGGACCATCATTGTGACAGGATGATAAGGGTCATTTTTCCCCTTCAGGTAGATGACCCAGGCGTCCACCGCGAAGTCCTGCTCATTCGCGTCCAGAATGACAACCTGTATGGGCTTTGCTGACAACTTCAACCCGTTCGACAGTTTCGTCCGGCCGATTCCCACTTAACGAACAATACCAAGCCGGCACCGCGGTTTCTGCCAGAATAGTTGTCACTATGCCTGCAAAAACCTGCATTACAAGATTCTGCTGGCAGCACGATTTGCTAATTAAGAATGGACTAATAAGGGAAAATGTGAATGTCAAGAGTAAGGGGGACACGCGACTATGGACAGAATATCCTCTCTAAGAGACGGGTTTCGACCCAATCTCTCATCTGCCTTACTCCACATCCATGTGTCAGCTGCATTCGCAACCCTGTACGATGCCACACGTCACTCTAACCGCTTTGGAGCGCTAAAAGAGACTATTCAAAAATGAAATGGTGAAAGTGTACCAGGGTATGCTTAGGAACACTCGATCTTATATTTTAACACATCCGGACACGCCGTTGTTCTGAGCGTTCTCCGCATGATTCGTTATTTATCAATACCGCATAATTCAGCTAATTTTCAATCGATTCTTTCCCTTTTCTATGAAATATGTGTATTATGTGCCTAAAAACGTGTTCTGATAACTTCGGAAGCATGAATAAGATGCCAAATGGACTAAATGAGACAGTGCAGAGGAGAAAAATGTATGACACAGTGTCACGCGGTCCGGAATGCTGTTTAAGTTCAGAGGTAGGTCAATGAATACTGATATATGGAATCTGGGGCAGGTCGGCATATGCATTCGGTACTAAAACATTATGTCAAAAGAATTTCACATTATGTCGAACGATTGATAAATAATTCATTCTAAATACGGCGCTGTTCGGCTAGGAGGAAGGTCCGAGGGCATTTGCTGCTACTTTCGCTAGTTCCTTTCACTATGCTCCCACAATCAAGCGTCTAATCCTGTAAAGACCTGCAAACTCCTTCCAAGTGCAAAAGAAGCTCATGCCGTTGCACAACTTCACAGGAATCTACTGCTCTTCAAAAACAGGGCGATCGGCAGTGACTCCCGGGAACCAATCAAAATGCCCCCACGAGTTCTCGAACATGCGCCTGAAAGATCTTTTTTGAAGCAAGCACGAAGCTGTTTGGAGCACCTGGCAGACAACATTATTAAAAATGCATATGAAAGTTATGAATTGCTACTTGGGGACCATGTTTGAAGAAGCTGCCGAAAGACTCATGCAGCACGGCTAGAAGCTCATCGTCCGTCTACCTCAGTAGCCATAGGAGGAATTTAAGTCCACCAATAAGTTGTCTGTTCCACTGTTTTTTGCGTCACCTCGTTGAACCCCTCATACGGTTGACCCTCGTTCCTTGGGGAAGTTCAGGACGCAAACAGGCTAAAAGTCAGATTGTTGGACGGGTGGCCTTAGCACGACTGCACCACCAGAACCACTAAAGCGGGTGGCGTCCCTTTCAGCCATGAAACACATTTCACATTCAGAATTCATTTGCATTTTATTTGCAGACCACGAAGGAAAACCACAGTGTAAGATTTGCTAGGCTCTCTGGCACACGGTGTGGGCGGTCCACAGTAGGAAGAAAAAATGGTGTGAGAGTGTCCACAAGGTGACAATGAAAACCGTAGAAGTGTTGGGCTGAACAACTTCTTTTTTCCAAAATTGCAAAATTCCATAAGAAACATACTAACCACAGAAATAAGATAACTCACAAGGATACCCGAGAAGGAAATGCCAAACCTATTTTCACAAACAGTATCGAGACCGTACAAGTCAAATGAAATAAGATGTGAAGAGTATAGAAACGCATTAATTTATTATGTGGAAAAATCTCAACAACAATATTTTCAAGCCTGTCAACTTCAGCGGAAACTTTTGGAACGCGAGACCATCTGATCAAAATGAGGAACGAGTGCCGGCCAGGTGCCGCTAAATCCATGAGACCCCCACTGGGCACACTAATTGAAGTGCCTAAACCGGTTCCCGTCCACGGAATCATACCATACAGCGAGGGCCTCACACACTCCACTCCAAAAGCTGTACGCGCAAACATAAACAGAGCGTGACAGTGGATTATTTTTATCCTTTTCTGAATCACGCTGCAAAAATGTGTACTGTCAAATGCACCAACTCACCCAGTCTTCATTCGGAGGCAGGTTCACGAATCACGCCGCAAGCGTCCGAAGTAATAGAGAGTGCAAGAATCCATTGCTAGAGAGGGGTGGGGGCAGAACTTCCTAACAGGGAACGTCCTGATTGGAGAAGTTTTTTTTTTTGGGAGCGACTTCTCCAAAAAACTTCTCCTCTGCTACTTCGCCAACTCGATCTTTTTCCGAACTTACTGAAATTCTCACAAACTTACTCACAATAAAGGAACGTTTACGCGGGGGGGGAAGGAGTTCAAAAGCGCCCTTGAAACAGTAAAAAACGGAAACGCAACATGCGTTAAACATTTGTCGACGAAGATACAGCCCGCTTCGGCGATAAATAAACACGACTCCACTCGCTGGGGACCCCAAATATAGGGGATCGAATTGATCTGATTATTAAACCTCTTTATTTCACCACTGAGCTCCTATCTTCTAAGCAGTATTCATCCAACAACCAGAAAATTTATTCAGAAATTTTCTTCGGCGGTCTTCGGCTGTTCGTTTACTAGCTCCTGCTAAAGTACACATCTCACTTTGTTAAGAAATGCTAACCCTTGTCATGTATAAATAAAGATCATGACACTGCACAGCTAGCAAATTTAGATTTCATTTGATGGATTGAAATTAATAAAATTTAATTTTATTACAAAATTCAAATCAGGTCTCCACAGGGGCCATCGGCCTGATTGATGGGGACCAGCGAAATGCCCCATCGCGCCCCATTTTCTTTTCTATTCGCCGTGGTCAGAAACCAGCAAGGTAAACAATGGTGAATGCTCTAGTTCAAAGAGCCCTTATTAATGCAGCCACAGTTAACATTCAAAACGGCACATTCCGCGTTTTTTGTTTGCATGGGCGGAGACAGATGACACCTTCACAGGCGCGATTCACATTGACTCGAAATAGCACTTCCGTGTGAATTTAATTAATTCATGACAACCTACGTCCTATACCGTTTATTTCAGGGATTTTTCTCAGAAAATGAGAAAATCGATTAGTTGCTCTCTTACCTACGACTTCATGCAAAAGTGCCTCATCAAGTCAGCTAGCTATGAATGCTGGTTCACCGGCGACGCCGCGTTGCGGATGTCCTGATCCACACAAAATTTCTACGGCATGTAATCATTCAGATTCAAAACGAGGCAAAAACGATCTTCACGGCGAATCACCCGAGAGCTGTCTCACGTGCCTTTTACAGATATGCGTGATAGAATTCCATACAAGAAAACACCACATGTAGGTCACTCGCGGCCATTCTTGAAAACGCGTCGCTCGTTTCGTCAGAGTCCAAAACAGGACCCCTCGACGGTTACATGCAAGAATCAGCATGGCGTTCCGAAGAACCATATATTGGGGACCATATATTTCAAACGGAGGAAGCACGCGAAGAATGCCCAACACAGAATTCTATATTTGACTATGGGATTTGGAAATTCGATACATATTTGCCTTTTATTCTTTCGTATCAAGCCTGTTGCACCTCCATTTTTTATGTCAAGGAAGAGGGCACAACATGAGGAAGCTCAGTCCCTTGTTTCGCAACTTGTTAAGATTGTCTAACATTGTAGATGTGAGACTACTCTAACTAAGTACCATGGAGGAGGCGTACGGAGTCACCTTCTCTCGTTGTACAAAAAAAGAGGTTCCTGCAATGGAAATGAGCACATTTTCCTGGGCCGGAAGGAAGAGGAATTCCGGGTTTGGTGAACCAGTCAAAATGACAATACTTGGATATTAGCCCCAGCTTCAAATAGGTAATCCTTTTGACACTTCCGAAAAAATGGTCCTTCAGCACTTTCGAACAAGTGGGAGTTGACTGGTGATGACCTCTCCGGCTCAAGGCAGTGCTGTCTACGAAAGACTCGGAGCATTTTCGAAAAAGCGGGAAAACTGGGGAAGATGGTATG